GTCACTTCGAAGAACGGAAGCATGGTTACAGCTAGGGCAAACGACAAGCAAATTACCCGCAACACATCATGTTTCAAAAAGGCTCCCGAGCTTAGCTACCAAAAGGAAGAAAGACCAACAAAATCAGACAAAAAAACTTCGGAAAGTGATAATCATCAACCGAATAACGGCGTGGACAACGGTAACGAACCGTCAGGAAGCAATCGCACATTAACAAGTAACAAATCTGATACAGCCACTCCGACAGCGCCAGAAGGAGGAGAAGTAAGAGTGGGACAGCGCCCTACACGTACTCGGAGAGAACCAGCTCGTTTAAAGGACTTTGTACGATATTGATAGTCAATTCAGTTAACACGAAAACGATTACTTATTAATACTAATACAGTTTAATGACTCTAGATAGCTCGGACTGAGTGATTCGAACTGTGCTGTCTCACTGCGTTGAGATTTACAGTGTAATTTATTGTTGACATTGGGGTTGTTCTGTTCAAAGTTATGTTAAATATCCAACTAGTTTTGGGGAGGGATGTAGTGTCCAGTAACACTCGGGAAAGTGAGCCCGCGAGGACGGTGTACGAACGTTCATAGTACGTTTTAGATCAGGATTGTTGACGTTAAGTTTATCGGGAATTTATGTGAATTTAAAGCAATAAAGTGAGACCTTTACACCACATTTACACCTATGTTGGGAGAAAAATATTAGGTTAAAACGACTAAATATCGTTAAATTAGCATGGCATACATAAACATCGATATATTTGTGTCTTTGCTTATATTGTCTGACACAGGGCATAAAATCACAACAAATCACAACAGCTTCTGACCAATTATTTTATACTTTTCTTACCATTCGCTAATTTCCACGGAGCCGTCAAACCTTTTACACAATTTCTCTTCAAATTCTATGCGTTCGTTCTCTGCCGTTTGGTAGCTTTTTATCCATTCCTCATCAGCTAAAGGCTCTTCGGAATATGCCAAACCGGGCACACTTTCGTCGTCGTCGTCTGACTCGTCTTCAAGCTTGGAATAACGCTTTGAACTGCTCAGAAATTGTTCGGCATCTTCCAACACAACATATCCGGGTATGAAATTTACATCAGAATCATCGGACTGATAACTACTATCCGAGTCGGATTCTGTTCTAGACATGATTTATAATATACTAAGATACAGTAAAAACGACAAAAATCCTTCTTGTTTGTGTGTAGCGCGAGTAACTTGCGTGACGTCACAATAAATGCTATCCCCAGACTCCTGTAGCCGACGTCCACGTGCCAAAAATTTTTGTGTTAAAACCGCTCTAAAATTTTTGCTTTTTAATCAAATCAAAAAATTCTTTCGCCAAAACACTCCACATAATGTGTACTTTCAACAGACAAAAAATCAATTTTTGTGTCAGGGGCACTTTAACAATTATTCGCCGAAGGCGAGGTGATTATTGGTGAATAAAAACCGAGACGAAGTCGAGGTTTTTATTCACGATAATCACCGAGCCTGAGGTGAATAATTGTTTTAGTATAATTTCATAGGTGATAATTTGGAAAAAAATAAGAAAATACACATTTCTTCGTCATTTAATTGACAAAAAGGCTTCGGCCGCCATTTTGAAAATCGCTTAGGTGATTATCGCGTAATAATCACCTCAACGGCAACCAATCAGCGTGGAGAATTTTCAATAATCACCTATGTAATTATACTAAAGTTTTATAAAGAACACTTTAAAACGTTTTGCGAAGCGTTTGTGGTTGAATTTTACCTTATATTGAAGCTTATATTACGTATAATACCATACCTAGCATATATATAGTTGGGAAATTGATCATTTTGTAATTAATTTAAAAGTGATATTTTTAGGCGATTTTTCATTTGTAAGAATATTCTTAAAAAATTATCGTGTTACCATAACAACTGCTATAAATACTTCATGTTCGGAAATATAATGGTTTTGTCAGCAAGGCGAGGGTTTCTGTATGCATGTATTTTCTAGTTTACCGATTAATCGGCTCATCCCTAGTGTTTTACTTTATAATCCCCGAGCCGGCGGCGCGAAGCGCCGTGCGAGGGTACTAATTCCCCCCGGCTATTTACACCCGGGGAAACGAAAGCATTAGCGAAGTCTAAAGTTCATCAATGAGCGCGGGCGTCGGTCACCAACGATGGGTGGTCATCCTCACTGATCTCAAAAATATGGCGGACTGTCATGAATAACGGACACAGATTGGTTCAATTTAAAGTTTGCATTATAACGACTGCATGACGACAGCGAAATAGCAAACATTTCTTGATTTGACGAGTTGATGATTGATAAATTTCTTGCAAATATTCTTCATTTTTGCTCGTATTTCTGCAAGATTTTGTAAATTTCAAGAAAGAAAGAGGCGAAAGAATCAGCTAAAAGAAGGGAGCCGACGTTAACGAAGGTAAGTTTGTTTTAAATATTGATTTTATAATGGCTTTAAAACCCGACGGCCTTTGCGTATATGAAACAACTAAACAAGACAGCATATAATTTCAGTGTATCTTTAATATTGATTCCCTTTTTTATTATATTGAATTTTTTAAATAAAAAATAAAGCAAAGTTATTTGCAAGCGAGAAGTTGAAATCATTTTATTGCAAACTCAAAGTTTATCGATAAAGCCATTTAATAGTTAAAGGCAGTTTAGTTTTTATAAAGAACACTTTAAAACGTTTTGTGAATTGTTTGTGGTTGAATTTTACCTTAAATTGAAGCTTGTATTACGTATAATTACATACCTAACATATATATGTTGGGAAATTGATAATTTTGTAATTAAAAGTGATATTTTTAGGCGATTTTCATTTGTAAGAATATTCTTAAAAAATTATCGTGTTACCATGACAACTACTTTAGATACTTCATGTTCGGAAAATACAACGGTTTTGTCAGCAAGGCGAGGGTTTCTGTATGCATGTATTTTCTAGTATAGAACTGAGCTGGACTTTTTTAGAAAGATGGGGGGCTTCGGTGGCAAAGCTGTTATATGCACTTGCCGTTCACCTCTAAGGCTGCAGGTTCAAGCCTCAGTGAGAACTTTCTCAATGCGACTCAAACCCAGTCCTCATGTGAAGTGTAAAAGTCAACACTCTGTCGAAAGTCATGGGTTTTCTCCAGGTACTCTGGTTTCCTCCTACAGGGAAAGTTGACAGGGTGGGTGAGGTAAAAGAGCCAACAGTAATTGGCACATGCTGTTGTGGTGACACCTAGTTGGCAAAGCTAAATAAATAAACTTAAGATACTGCCACAATTGACCCAAAATGTTGCTAATGCCAAACTAAGATTTTCCATATAAACTATATACAATGACCCGGGATTTGGCACAGTATTCATGCTTTGTTTAGGCATAATGTAATCTTCTAAATGACATTTCCCAATCAATTTGAATATTAACCCATTAAGCTGTAGAGTTGAAGTTTCTCCATTGACGAGTAAATTCATTTGGCCAGAGGTGTAACTTAACACTTGCCTGGGGCAAGTGAATATCATGATGGGCAAGTAAACACTTTATCTTGCTGCCCGATTGGGCAAGTTGCCTTGCCACTATTCATTGTCAGATATATTTTGTTTTATAGTGCATGGACTTGGTTCAAATTTCGTTTTTTGTGCACCAAAGCTATATCTGAGGCAGTATAACATAGCCATATAGCGTAGTGGGAGAACAGGTTGACATGTTGTCCCCTTAATTTATACCCCCTACCTAGGTACCCCAAGCAGCCATTGTCTGATGGCAAGTGAATTTTATTCAGAGCAACTAATCTTTATGACCAACTTGCCCTGAGGGCAAGTGGTCAAAAAAGTAAAGTTACACCACTGCTGGCGGTAGACAAGTAAATAAAATAAGTAGGTCGCACTACGGCACATTGCGGCTCAATTGGTTAACTAGAGACATTGTCAGATTTTTGGTTAACCCATTAGCGGAATTCATATTAGAGACGGGAAACTCGTCTTAGACGGGAAACTCGTCTCAGACGGGAAACTTGTCTAATATGAATCCGGGCGCAGACGAGTTTCCCGTCCGAACTTTCCCGTCTAACTTACCCGTCTAAACAGACGGGAAACTCGTCTTAAATTTGAATTTACCCGTCCCTAAATTCATATTCAGACAGGTTTTCGCAGACGAGTTTTCCGTCTAAGACGAGTTTCCCATCCCTAATATGAATTCGGCTATTAAGCTGCAGAGCTTCCCTACTGGCGTTAAGCAAACAAAAAAAAATAAGTAGGGCATACTGGGGCGCATTGCGGCTCAATGGATTAAAAGATCTCTGTGATTTTTTTGTAAGTTACATTTCAAAACTGTCTGCAAAAGTATGTCAATTTATTTTATTGGAAATTATACAACTCAGTCTGGGTGATTTGTTTTGGCAAGCATGTTCATCTAAAGAGGCTCATGTAAACAGACATTCATCCAGTGAAAGCGGGCTATTACCAGGTTAGTTACCTGGACTGGCTTGCCTTTATATAAGCGGCCCCTTGCACATGTTTTAGGCCGAGTGGCTGACTGATAGAGCCATACATTGGGAAAGGCTGTCTACATGCTATTAATGTGAATATATACTAAAACTGTCTTTACCAGTGTGGGTAGTACCAATGTAAAAATACTACCTTAAAAAACAACTCGAATCGACGTTTCGAAATTTATGAAGGCCCTTCATCAATAGTGTAATTATGCATATTTCAAACAAATCACATTATTATAAAAGTATACATGTCAAGTGTCAACATAGCAAATACTTAACAGAACAACACATATGTATATCACAGAAATAAGCCGTATACGATTTTCTTAACAATACAGATAAGTAGAGACTGTTATTTGTAAATCGAAATTTACAACTGAACGTTTAGATGCCTTCGTAAAATCGGCACAAAGCGACTATAAAATACAGGCCTTCGATTTAAAAATATAACTACACAGTCTGTCAAGTAACTACCCGCATACAAATAAGCAGGGCATTTTTTAAGAATTCGTCAGTGGGGGGGGGGGCATCTACAAAAGGACCCTATACTATACCGAAAGTGTGGAGCAATGATAGATGGTTTGTTGGTAACAAAAAGTTTGGTGTGGTATCGCATTTAATAGTAGGGGAGAGCAGGGCCGTAGGAAGCTCTTCAGGGCCGTAGGAAAATTTTTAAATTTAGAGTCTCTGAAATGCCATTTCCTGGACTTTGGGGAAGATTTGACAGATTTCTGATTGTCAGAAAACAGTGTTTTTAGTATGTGGAAATTTAGAATTCAGTAATACTAAATGGGCGAAGGTGTATTTTATTAACGATATATTGGATAAGTTGCAGGAAAGTATGGGTAATATCTTCAT